AATTCACCGCGGATGTCACTTTGCTCAGCGACTGTCGTGAAGCTCACTTGAATGCTTCTGGTTGCAGGGTAGGATACGCCGTTGGCCAGCAGCGTGGAACCGACAATTGTCCAAAAACAACCACAAAAGACGACCGCTTTAAACTTCTACCGCCCGACCTCCACTGCCTCACTTGCCTTATTTCCCTGAACCCGAAGTCATCGCTTCTCCGACGATGGACGCGATGCGGAGTCCCAGAGATGCCTTGATGGATAAGTGCAAGGCGACTGTGACGGACATTGGACTGGATGCACACAAGCGGTGCAGCATGCCGACAGGCTCGCCGGCCGAACAAGGACTGCTTGCTTTGCCCAAAGAATTTTTGGAGACATTGGGCCGCCTGGCAGCTGACACACTGGCGCTCCGAGCTTTCAGTCCTGCCAATTCGTCAGGTTCAACAGAGGATGCGCTTGAGCTGCTAGAACGACTTGATCAGGAGCTCGACAGGACTTACAAGAAGTTCTATGAGTTTGTGTACCAAGATCTGCCATACTGCTGGCGTCAATTATACACAGACCTCAGTCTTCTGAAATTAAGTTGTCTCGTCGCCTCATCGCCACAATATGACTCCAAGAGTCCAGCCTGTAATGCTCCAGCCTCAACTCTGCTCAGCGACTGCGATCTCAACAAGGCCGTGGAGGCGCTTGACAAGGCACTGATCCTGGCCGGTGGCGCTGGCATCACGCGTGGGAGGCAGTCAGTTGAGTGCTTCCTTCAGCTTCTTGAGGACGCGGCGGTGGACCACACAAAGTCAGATAACGACAGTGAAACCCGTCCTTCCAAAAGGCCACGGCTGGATACCGGGCCATCATGTTCTGGGTCATGGGATAGCGAACGGTCGTTCCCTCGGAGTCGCATCTTCGAACCAGACCTTCGGCACCCTGTGGAAACTTTCCACCAAATGTCCATGCAGAAGTTCCAGCAGTACATGGACGAAGGTACCTCACGCGGCCCGAACGGGCTCCTGCCTTTCGTTGTCAAAGGGCTCATGAATGACTGGCCCGCCATGACGACCAGGCCGTGGCGCAAGCCCGCATATCTCCTCTCGAGAACCTTTGGCGGTCGAAGGCTCGTTCCGGTAGAGGTCGGGCGCACCTACGTTGATGAGGGCTGGGGCCAGGAGCTCATCACCTTTCGAGCGCTGCTTGATAGGCTCGAATGCCCCGAAGCGCCCAACGAATCCGAGGTTCGCGATGAAGGTACACAAGAGAAGATTAACGAGCCTATCAATCCGAAGCCGGTTAGCTACCTAGCTCAACATGAGCTCTTCACACAGCTTCCTATTCTCCGCAACGACATACCGACCCCAGACCTCTGCTACACCAGCCCACCACCGCACCCTCTATCTCGCGAACTTGACAAGCCGGAAACGCCACTTCCCCTGATCAACGCATGGCTGGGCCCGGCCGGCACCATCACACCCCTTCACACGGACAGCTACCACAACCTCCTCGCCCAGGTCGTTGGCGCCAAGTACGTCCGGCTCTACTCGCCCCATGACACCGAGGCGCTTTGTCCGCGAGGCGAGGATGACCAGGGCATCGACATGCACAACACGAGCGCGTTCGACGTCGGCGTGGTCGAAGGCTGGGACGAGTTGCCCGACGGCGAGGTGGCGCGGGATGAGATCGAACTGGAGGAGTTCAGAGGCCTGAAGTACTGGGATTGCATCCTGGAAGAGGGGGACATGCTCTACATCCCCATCGGATGGTGGCATTACGTGAGGGGCTTGAGCGTCAGTTTCAGCGTGAGCTTCTGGTGGAATGGAGATCACTTCATCAGCAATGATGAGAGTGTAGGCGAGGACAGCGCATGATGACAGCCGAGGCCGTCGCGACTACTGTCACGGTGTTACTGGCTGGATGCATTGTCAAGTTTCAGGTATGCAACTCTTGCTTTCATCCCCTAGCCTCGCTGGCGCTGGGATCCTCCTCAGCAGCAGCATTTTCTACGCTTCCTTGCGCCTCCCGCCTTGCCTTCGCACCCGCCTTCAATTTCTCCCACTTCTCGCGATACTTGGCTAGCGTGCGCTCCATTTTCTGGTTCTCCTTCTCCAACGCCTCTATCCGCTGCACAGTCAACGCCATCTGCTCCTCAAGCTCCTTGTTCTTCGCCTTTAAACCGGCCGTATCTTTCGATCCCTTGCCCAGAGGGAGGGCCGCCAGCTGAGGTGGCTAGTGGCGAAGTCGGCCTCCGAAAACGCATACTCTCTGCGAGCGCAAGGCTTGAGTTCTGGGCACTCGCTTCAAAAGCATGTAGGCGGCGGCTCAGCTTGTCGAGAACATCCTTGAGACTTTTGTTTTCCATGGCCAACTCCTCTGCCGTCTTGTGAGACCCCGAAGCAAATGACCGGGCTTCGTTGGCGTGGCTCATGGTCCCGCGGCCACGGCGCTTTGTGGGCGAGGGGGGTGCGACCGGTGTATCTCGAGCATCCACGAAATCGTCCTCGTCATCTTCGAAACGGCCACTGTCGCCTCCGACATGGAGGGAGGCGTCCATACGACGCTTTTCCTTGTCGGCAAAGTTGAGAATGTTGGCGTATGACATGGTGTGTCCGCTTGTAGGGACCACGTAGAAAGACTCGTTGGGGTTCTGGCCAGATATGGCGCGCATGGTCGCGCGCGAATAGATTTTTGACAGATCCGGCTCGGCTGCCGGTGCTGGCGACTTGTGCTTTGTGCGCTTGACAGGCGGTGAGGCTTCGGGGGTCCAGGTTTCCGCAACTTCCTGTAGGGCAGATTCCTCTGCGATCAGGGGCAGTCCAGCGAAAGCCAAGGGAGCAGAAAGGCGATTCATGATAGTTCCAAAGGTGTTGTAGAAACGAGAATAACCATCATCGCTCGGTGCCGCCGCTGGCTCCTCAGCCTCCGGTTCCTTCGACCTATGCGTCTCCGCTCTTGATGGTCCAGCTGTAGGGGGAACCCAGCCAGGCCTGCCAGATTGATCGAGCACATTCTGCATCTTGGATCTGGATCTTTCGCTGCGTGGCGACACCTCGAGGTTGCCGGGGGCCTGATCATTGCTAACGCTGGGCGGCACCAGCTGGCCCCTGTCGCGAGCCTTGATGCCCCTGGCCGAGGCCAGGTTGCTAGCGATGGAAGACGTCATGGGCCTGGCGGCCTGGTATCGCTTGGACTGAAGAAGAGAAGGGACAGGTCCAGTCTTGGCAGGTGGCGCCGCTGCTGGCTGTTCGCCCTTGGATGTCGCATCGTTGGTGATTTCCGTAGCGGTGTTTGCTTGCTTCTCGTCGGATTCGGTTCGCTCGAGACGGCGCACGGGGAGTTTTAGGAGTTCGGAGAGGCGCAGGTGGTGCTCCTCAAGGAGCTTGAGTGTCCTCAGAGCTTCGATGCTTGTCGTGGATCGGGCGGCGTTGGCGAACTCGCCTGCAGCAAGAGTGTGTTCGTTGATGGCAACAGTTGTTGATGCATTCGCAGCAGCTCTCGCATGATCATGCGCCTGTCTCAATGTCAGATTTAGGTGCGGCCGTTGACAGTTGAAAAGCAAACCTTTGTTAAGGGTGATTCTTCCATGTTGGCTGGGATCTTGATCGATCGTGTGACGCACCCAGACGGATCACGGTCACATCGATCCAGTGGAATTCGTTGGCAAGGCTCAGTTGGTTTTTATTTCGCCTTCCGCTTCTTCTGCATGTATGATTGAAATAAAGTTGGAGCACGGTTCGGAAAGGGGGTCGGTTCACTTGCGCAAAGCGAAAGCGAAAGCAAGTGCAAGTAGACAGCTACTTGGTACGTATTCGAGGTTCCGCCTGTGATGCGATGCCGGTGGACACTTTTGGCCGTCTTCGGAATGGACCTTCCCCAGAAATCCCCCCGCAGTTTGCAGCAGCTCAGATGATCGATGCGCGCTTATGATAAGGCGCTGGTGGCGCTGTGGCCAATGCCATTGGAACGCGGCAAATCCATGTCGGCTACCCTGTCCAATGCCACTTCTGGACAGCCGCCGGTTCACTCGGTGGTCTGTCAACAACATCTCACGACGAAGCTGTTCTAGTGATTGAGGGTCAAGGTTGAGCTTCTGATATTTCGTACGCCGCTCTCATTCGTTGCCGACATTGCTTTCTTGTTTTCGACTTTGAGAATCTTACGGCATCGTCTTGAATGTTTGGCTGCCGTCCGCAATCATTAAGATCACCTTTGTTTTTTTCAACTCCATTGAAGCATCATCAGCCCGACACCCGATGCTGCGCCAGAGACAACAGAAGCCAAGTCAACAAGAACAAAGACCTGGGGCTTCGATTAAATCAATTCAACCTCAGACTGGGGACCAAAGCACTGCATTCGCGATGAGCTGGGCTGAGCAAAACGAATGGGTCGTTCTCGCAACTGCGAGCGGTGCCTGTGCTGCCTTCAACGGCGTCTTCGCTAAGCTGTGAGTTGCCTTAGCCCAAACCATCCTTACTGATGATCCCACCCACTCACACTCCCAGGACGACTACGCAACTCACAACGACCATCGCAACGAGCCTTTCCAAGTTCCTTCACCTGACCAGTGTTGAAGGCGCCTTTGAAGTTGTGCTCCGAGCCGTAAGCCCCATCTAGGCTCCCGCCGCAACTCATCAATCTGACAACCCCCCCCTTTTAGGTCTTTTTCGGCCTCAACCTTCTCTTCAACGGCATCATGTGGACTCTGTTTACCAAGGCCCTCGCAAAAGGCAGCTCCACGACGCGCGTGTCCATCATCAACACGTCGTCCAACTTTGTCCTTACGGCCCTCCTCGGCCTCGTTATCTTCTCCGAGTCCCTGCCGCCCATGTGGTGGTTTGGCGCCTTTCTCCTCGTGGCCGGTAACGTGATTGTCGGCCGCAAGGATGACTCTGCCGGCGAGGAGGCCACCGATGGCGGGTACGCGGCGGTCCCGCAGCAGCCTGCACTTGTACCCGACAGCCCGGTTGACGAGCGTGGTCCCAAGGTCAACGGGTACAACGACGACGAAGATATCATCGATCTGGGTGATTTGAGCACTGAGGGAAGCAATGGGCAGGGTCGGAGGTAGAATACATCATGTGACTGCTGATGGTGTTTCCACATGTGGAAGAAGGAGTTTCCATACACCTGCTCTAGGTTGCGCTACATCATGACCATGCTCAAGCTGGTTGCCCCCGAACAGACAAGATGACGTTTGACACAAAATCAGAAAGAAGGCAGGCTGTGTGTTGACAGTTAAGATTATAAGACTGATAGAACACTGATGATGAATACAAACCAATGCCACTGTTGGCGCATGTCTTTGAATAAAGTACCGTAAGTAGAACAAATCCCGATGCGCCGCCCAAACTAATGTACCTAGAAAGCAAATCTAATAACTTTCAAAGCGTGAAATCGTACACATCAGCGGTGCTCAAGCTCCACGCCCCCATCATGGATGTCGTCCTCATCGCCGTCCATGATCTGAGTGCCCTGCCTATTGCTGCTGGGCCCGCCGAATCTCCGTGGCTCATCAACAGAACTCAGACGAATCCTGCCACCAGAAGCGCTCGAAACCTTGCCGGACACCCAACCCGCAGCTCTGCGTATAAAGGTCCAAAGTCTCTCCTGACCCTCCACAAGGTGACGATCGACGCGGGGATTTTCGGCCGCCTCGACCTTGAATTGGTACTTGAGACAGTCTTTGACCGTCACGAGGCCAGCGAGTTTGCCATGGTACTCGATGAGAATGACACGGGGTCCGATCTTGCGGAACAACTCCATCACCGTCTCGAGTTGGAGGCGGGGATGGACAGTGACGGGGGTGCTGTCAATGTAGCGACTGAAATCGACGGTGCTGGGTGGTGTCGAGTCAGCGTTGGCCGATGCAGAGGGCGTGTTCGGGTTCGGTGAGCCATGCGATGATGGCTGCATGAATATGCACTTGGTCTGAGGCAAGATAGTCCTCTCTCGTCTAATACGTTCGAGAGCATATTGCAACTCGGTACGACCGATATAGCCAGCCAAGATCTTGGTCCTGGCATCTTCCACAATGGGAAATCCTTGATACTTGTGTTCTTCCAGTAGTTGTTCAATCTCTTCGATGACCATGCCCTCGGCGGGTAAGAAGACGACGGAGTCACCCATAACCTCAGATACAGGGACGCCGAAATTGTGCTCTTCTTTGTTGTCGAGAAATGGGAATCCGCTGAACCAAATCATGCGATCAGCGATTCCGCCGTGGCCGAAAAGGTCGCTGACTGCTTTCGTGACACCAACCACAATCATGGTCGGCAGGATGTAGGTCAGGGCTCCGGTGAGTTCAAACATGATGACGACCACAGAGACCGTGATGTGCATGATGCCACTCAAGGCGGCAGCTGATCCGAGGAAGGCGTAGGTTCCAGGGGTAATGCAAGGCTCGTCAGGCTTGCAAGCGGCAAAGAATACGCTCTGCGGATTCGCCTGGTACAACATTTCAACCAGAATGCCCACGGTCCGCCCAAATGAAGCGCCAATGGCCATGGATGGTACGAATATGCCTGCCGGGACTTTGCAGCCATAGGAGATAATGACCAGGAATATTCTGAGGACGGTCGCTATAGAAAGCGAGAAGACGTTCCACCATTGCTTTTCCTTTTCACAAAGGCCGTGATAATCTTCGCCGCCCTCGCACTCGAGGAACAGGATCTCCATGCTCTCTGTCATGTCAATCCGTAAAAACACATTGGGGTAGCAGATGATGCCCGTCGCAAAGGCGAGGAGAGTTGCCTCGAGTACGGGATACTTGAACAGATACTTCTTCCTGAATGCCTGGTACCGCAAGTTCCACTTCATGACGAAGGCACCGTAGAGGCCGCCGAAGATACCCAAGACGATGTAGAAGAACGTTTCAAAAAAGTGCCAGTCGCGGTCATAGCTGACCTGGAACATGACCAGTTGGCCAGTCCGGAAGGGGTTCATGGCTGCCAGGACAGCAACAGCAACCAGGGCGCAGAAGTAGCTTCGCCAAAGGGTCTTTAACGGGAAATAGCTGGACATCTCTTCAAGGGAGAACAAAACCCCGCCAATGGGACTTCCGAAGGCGACAGCAACGCCAGCCGCGGCGCAGGCACTCAGAATCTCCCGTGTCTTCGAGGCGTTGTTCCGGTACTTTGCGAACAATCTCGAAATGACATTGCCCGTGCAGACGGCGTAGTGAACGCTGGGACCCTCTTTTCCTACGGAGAGGCCCGATGCGATGGCCAGTGGCAAGCAGACAGACTTGATGACCAGGGTCCAGAATCCCAGGAAGCCCTTCATCACAAAGCCGGCAATAATGCATTTGATTTCGGATATGCCAGAACCTGCGGCGTATGGGGCGAACGACTTGACAAGGGTCGCCGATGTGCATGCGAATATCGTCGCGAAGACGATGTAGAGGAAGTAGTTTGCGGGCCCAAAGCCAGTCCATCGATGCCATGCGTCGCAGCCATTGTCCTCGCCCCAGCAGCAAAAGTTCTCGTTGAGGTAGAAAGCGGTCGTACAGTAGCCCATCTTTATGTCGGACAGCCACTCAGTGATGATGTTCAGAAACGCAGCGTTGAGACCAATGGCTATGCCTATCAGGGTGACAACAAGCCAGCCTTGTGCAGCGTCGTAGGACTCCCACAGGCGATACCTCCATCCGGGCATGCCGTTGTCGACAAGGCCAGCCCTGCGACGGCGCCGGGACTTCCTGCGCGCTTGTTCCCGCGCGGCATCTTGAACCCAGTCTATTGTTGTAAAGTCCTCATATCTCTTAATCTCAGCGATCTCTTCTTCAATCTGCTGTTGTGCCGGCAATCTACGCCTCGTGCCCCCGCCCTCTTCGGCAGTGGAAATCGCGAACGACAACCTCGAGCTGATGGACGGCCGGCGACTGCTGAGGTTTGGGGTCTGCGTGAAGGAAGTGGTGTGCGACGTCATGGTGTTGAGGGCACGATCATGTTCGCGAGAAGCTGGAATCAGTGTTGACGCTTGGATGACGTCGGTAAGGGCTGCTTCTTCAACTCGGGGTCGGTTCTCGCGGAGGTTTGGTCGTGGGAGGGTTATTGGCAATCGTTCAAGCTCGAGCTCAATCGAGGCAGCTCGCTGTTCTTTGGCCAAGGGACCTTGACGTACCGTACCGATGCACCTACCACCTGGTGAAGTAAAGCAGGCACCCAGGGGGTTTTGGGGGGGGAATTGCGTTTACTCCTAGGACAGAGCTACGCTGGTAATGAGAGACTTTGCAATGTGGTGGAATTATGGTGCACGTGCTGGTACCTCAGTAACCCCACCGCCCCTGGCCCCATCCCTTCATCTCTCACAGCAAGCAAGCAACACTGGCAAGACTGGGTTGATGGAAATGGGACCTGCACACGCACTGCATCGCACCGTCTCGTCATCCTTTCTCCTGCCAATTACCTCCATCAACAACAACCCAACATCGACCACCTCACCCTGATTCCGACCTCGCAACCAACCAGGCTACGACGAGAACGACGAAGACGCTTTTGGTCGCGCATCCCATCCGTGCAACATCGGCATTTCCAATTCAAAGCATCAACGGGGAAAGCTCGGGCGCCCCTCAACGAGGCTATTGC